AAATAATAACGAAAAAAATGGAGCATCACCATCTGATTATTGGACGCCGGATCTACACCATCGCCACCATCAGGAACCGAAAAAAAAAAAAATCAAGATCAGTTATTCTTCCTTCCGAGAGATTGACCGTCGCCACCATTGCACAACAATTGAATTTTGAACCCAAGAAGATAATTTAATTTCAAAGGGATGGGAAAATGGAGGTGACAAAAGATTAGATTGGCATTTGGGGCGGGGGAAGATTTGTGGGGAAGGAAGGGATGGAGAGCGTACAAAAAAATTGACAGTAAAAATAGGCAAAAAAAATGACATCGAGTAGTAAACGTCGTCGTTTAGTCTACCACATTAATTAGTTTATTTCTCTCGGCTAATGACATATTTGGTCGGCAAAAAAAGAAAAATAACTTTATTAATTGAGCATAGTAGTATTGTTTTAAATTGGTGTTGTTATTTTAATATATTAGCCAATCAAAGGCTCAATTTAAAATTGATGATGTCATGTAAACTAATGGACCAATCAGATTGCTCAATTTAATTTCTGACCAATTACATTCAAGATTCTAAACTCACAAGAGACATTTACTTGTGTACAGAAAAGTATTTTTTAATAATTAGGAGAACACAATTAATATGAAAATATATTTTTAAAAATTTTTATTAAATAAAAAAATATATTATGTGAAACTTAGAACAAATCAAAATGTCCTATAATAAAGATCAGAGGGAGTAATTCTTTTCATTATAATAGGTCGCATACCCATGAGATCAATAATCAATTACTATATTAAAATTACAATTTCTATCACCTCGTTCCCCCTCCCCACAAAAAAAAAAAAAAAACCACCCAAAAAAGAAAGGAAAAAAAAAATTTTTTTTTTCCCCCTTATGCTAGTCTTTCATCAACTCTCTATACATAAATCAATGATGAGATTAGAGTACTATCTAATTTAGTTAGTTTTCTTTTCGTTTTCCTTTCTCTGAGCAATATGTTTTTGAGTATATATATTGATTGACCCGGCCCAGCATGCATGCTCCACACGAGGCATGCACATAAGAGATATGCCCTACACCACTTGAGCATATATCTATACACACATTTGAGAAAGGCTCCTCAGCTGGGGCTCCAATTGAATCCATTTTCTGTTGTCTGACAAAAGAAAGGAGTGATATAGCTGTTAGTACTCCACCAGCAAGCACGATTTGCAGGGGGCACGTTTATACTGTCTCAATTAATTTGCTGTAAATTTAACATATGGTCTTTTAGACTTATTTCCCGTATGGCGACTTCATCGGCTAGCTAGCTAGCTGGTTCAAGACAAATTAATTTTGCAATGGATTATATCACGTTTTGCCTCGCGACTTCTTGTATAAATTATCTTATTGGTAACCAAAGTGGTTGTAGTGGAGTGGAAGGGACTTTTCCACCATTAACTATAGGTCGAGAATTTAAACCTCGTCATGGGTATGGAGCAACCTTAAATACTTTGGCCAACTGTTCCACCCATCGAGGTGCTTACAATTCAACGAAAGCGGTTACTCACTGTTACCGCCGGTGGAAACTCGGCAAATATGCAAAAAAAAATCTTATTTGTTAATTAAGATTAGGTAAACTCGTGACTTAATAATGACAATCTAGAAATAATCTGTCACAGTAATGTAATAACGTAGTTTCATGTGTCAAGCCTTCTCAGAATTTCACATACGTGGTGAAATTCCAAAGGATTTTTTTTTTTGACAGTATAATTATTTGTTATCATAGCTGATCAATGAACGATAAGTCAATTTGGTTTCAGTGATAAGACAAAGACATGTGTATGAAAATGAAGAATTGTACTCAACTTTGTATGTGTAACTTGCATTAATTAGGTTTGTCAAGTTGCATGTCACTATCCTATATATGATAACAACTTATGTGGGAGCAACTGTACTATGTCAATTGAGATAGTTAGAGACATTAAACAAAATCAAAATACAATTTTGAGGGGTCATAGCCTGAGTGTAAGAGATCAATTGGTATGATTTAAGGAAAATATTAGTAAAATGTATGTTGGCTTGGACCAAATCACCAATTTTTAGTGCTTCTACCATGCCCAATGAGCGGGCCACTGTGCATTAGGACTAAACAGGTGTTACTATATATTAAACGATGGTGCCTTAATTTGATACTTATTGTTCATGAAGTCAAATGTGGATTGACGTTATAGGAATAGGATTAAATATACTGATACTTTGATTGTTTTTCTTAATGATAATTTACAACATTATAAGGTTGAAAAACACATATTCTCTTGTTTTATAAATATTCATGAGTTAACACCGATAAAACAACGGTATTGTAGGAGGATTAGTAATCATATTTGTTCAATGGTGACTGACATTATAATAATTATTAAAATTCGTAAGCTTACACTTTTCCCTTTTTCCTTATCTCCTTTTTATGTCGTTGTTTTATACTTTTTCTATCGAAAAAAATAATTTATATCGAATTTTAGAATTTGTGGAAAAAATAGTATGAAATTTTCAAACTCAACATGAATTTTTTTGTTTTTGGACAAAGGAAAAATTAATCAATCCGATTAATTTTCTTTTGAATAAATCAATTCGAATAGTTAGTTCCACATTTTACTTTCTCTACAGATACGTTTCTTCAAAAATCTTCGATCAAACTGATCCTGGCAAGAGAAATTGCATTCTCGATCTGTAATTTTTTACTTTTCTTTCGGATAATCTGTTCATTTTCTTTTTCTCTTTTTCTTTTTTTGCGTTATCAAACGAAAAAAACTCTAAAACACAGAAATGTCTGGAATTTGTGACTGGTAGTTTAATCTTTGCTATAGTGGATTTGTTCATTTTACTCTTTGCATCATGTGAAGATGGGATTCTATCTACTAGTCAACGATTCAATGGAAATATCTAGGCCTCGACACGAATCCAGATCTCATGTTTAAATTATCATCGTTCTGAAAAAAATACTAATAATCGTAACAAGAAAAATCCTCATTTAGTGGTCATATTATATAATGACTACGTGATATTGGTCATTAGAGGCACTGTTAGTAACAGGACCAATGGTGGTCATAAATTTTGGTCACTGTCATTGGCTTTATTGGCGAAACCTATATAGTGGCCAAGAAATCGTAGCAAATTGTGGGGTGGCAAGCATTCACGTCTAGATGACCAACCTTAGTTACCATTTTTTTGACGACTTTTTGCCATCGTCACTACAAAAGCCATAATTGAAATATATTGTGACATTACTAGCCGTCACTAACCTATTTTAAGTGTAATGACCATGAAAAGTCATCACTATATATTCTATATTATATATTATTAATGACGACAATTTGTCTTTTTATTGACCACTTGACTTGGTCATTAACACTCCATTTTCTTGTAGTGAGAAAAGAATCGACATTATGTAATATTAATGATACAATATGTAATATTAGTGAGAAAAGAATCGACATTTTCTTGTACTTTGGTGTCATAAGCATACAATATGTAATATTAATGATTAAAAGTTTGTTACTATAGTTTGCTTTCTTGAAAAAAAAAAAAATTATTCTGCACGAATATGGATTGGTACAAATATTATTCTATACTGTGCAAGCTTCAGGAAACTATTTAACTGGTTGATGAATTAGTACAACTATTATTCTATATGAATTAATAAAATTTATATCACTACTCTTCTCAGCAACTTTCGTGTTAAAAATTGTGCACTCTCGTTTGCCATATTCTAAAATGTGTTTAATTATTTTTACTTGTAAGTTTAACCAATCAATTTACATTTTCCATATTTTCGTAGACTTGTGTACTTGTTGACATTAGTGACCCGGTAAGAAAATTAATGTACAAAAGTTTAACAGATTAAAAAAAGTATTTTCGACTTATTCAGGCCGACGAGTTACCGGCCTAGTAAAATTAAAGTTAGAAAAAAACTGAAGTAAACTTTCTAATCCAAATTAGTGAGGTCAACTAAGTCCGGCAATCGAGTCGACATATATGGTAAGGTAAAGGTTTTTAAAAAGTCTTTGCGTCTTGCTTGTTGATACTTAGTCTGAGAAGTCGACCTAGAAAATGTTTATGCTAAAAGAAAAAAAACACATTGACTTACACGGCGATCTTCAGTAGCCCGACAAGAAATTCTATAACAAGTAAAAACTTAGGCAAAAGAAACTGTTGAAGACTAAAAGTTACTACAACAAAGTCAATCACAATGGCATTTCGTCAATTCCTCACGAACAATATTTTTTTCGATCTAGTTGGATTAAGCAACTCACCAACAATAAATTGCCGGCTCAAACGTTGAGTTAACACAAGTCCGATCATTTCTTTTGTTAGGTTACAAAATAAAATAGTTGGAAATCACTAAACAAATAGAAATAATAACCAAAATGCTGCTAAGAATTTCTTGATTAAAAGTTTGATATGATATTCCACTAAACTTTGGTATAGTAAAAATCATTTTCATGATTTTTGAACATGATTAGTTAAAATCATAATTCTATTCTAAAAGCCGAGACCATTTTGGTTTTGTAGCGGAACCGTTGAAAATACAATAATAAGTATTTAAAACATATACTATATACTTGAACATATTTTTTCATAAACATTTAAAACAACTCCGAAGTAACATTTAGTAAGTACAAAATAATTTATTCATACTACAATACACTCCCCTACATATTAATTTTAATGAATTACATCCCATCATGATTAATTATATTTTCATAATTTTCCCTTTTTTGTTAGTGAAGAAGAATAATGCAAATGTTGTCAATATGAAACAACAATAATAATCTGACTAGTTTAAAAGTTGAATTATTATTTTTTTTTGGAGAAAAAGGAATACGTTTTTGTAATCATTTCAATTCTTTTTTGCATTTTTAATAAGTTAATTGCAAATATTTTATTTACATTATAATTTTTCCATGACCACAACTAAATCCGGGCCGGAACCGAAACCATAACTATACGGTCATACCCATCTAGAACCGGTTCGGTTAATTAACTGACTTATCTTCAATTCTTCCTTTCAAAGTCCGTCCATTCCCGGAGTTTTCTTTCCCACTCTCAAATCTCCGTTCTTGCGAGAAATTTCACAAACCCATAAAAAGTTTTTGATTTGCACTCCTGAATTCCGAAAAGGGTTGGCTGGTTTTTAGTTGTTGTTCCACAGGAAAAGAAGAAAATGCTGATGATAGCTCAATCCACCATTTTTCCTGCTTTAAAGCTACCGGACTCACCACTGCGACTTCCGAATCCAATTCTGAGTCCAACCCACGATTCTCGTATCTCAGCTTCATTTCAGTGGCCATGGTTTCATCCCAAGCCCAGACTTCCGAAGAATTTATCTTATCAGGTTCAAAATCCCTTTTCATGTGCTTTAATTTTTTTTATTACAGCTTTGGGTTACAGGTGTTGTATTCTTCTTTGGTTTGAAATCATATTGATATTGTTATGAGTTCATTTTTATATGCTCTGCCCCGTTTGGTATGGAAACGATATTTGTTGAGTTTCGGTCATTAGCTAGAGTTTTGTGAAAGAATATTGCTGTTGATTAATTAGAGTACTAGTAACTAGGACAGTATGATGCATTCTGGCCAATTTGCTACCAATTTCGGATGTAAACTCGCAACTTCTGACGTTGTTTTGGGGCCACTTGATATCAATTTGTATGTACATTTGTTTTTAAGTCCATTTTTGATAGTGGTGATCTAATTTTTAAACAGAAATTCGACATTATATTTAAGTCTGCATGGAGATATGGAGAAGGGAAATAACTAAATGAACTAAGTAAAACATATACAAGTGCTTTTCAGATTCTGTGGGGAATATGTTTAGATGTACCTGGTTTGGTTTCGGAGAAGGAAAACGATTTTCAAGCTGATTTTTTCTTTGTTTCTTCTCGTATGTTCCATAAACGGGGCTACTTCATCTTGATCACAATATTTGAATGTTGTACATTACTGATACTCCAGTATCTACAATCAACATTGAGATTTCCAGTTCATTGTTACTAGTCATAACCTCTTGTAGTTAGTTACTAACTTGTTGTTCTATTCTAACCATCACAGATATTTGGAAAGGAACTGAGAAATATTTTGATGTCACCTTTACCGGGAGTAGAAGGTAACTTTCTACATATATCTCTTCTGAAAAGATTTTTTATTATTTATTGTCTGCTTGTTTTGCTGTTATAATCATGGAGTTTATCAAGAAACCCAGAGAACATAATTCGAAGAAATATGCGAAAATTAAGAAATAAATGATTAAGAAAGCATAAATGTTGTCTTTTTTTTTTTTTTTATTTTTTTTAAAAAAAACTTTTTGAATCATCCTCCACAAAGGTCCGCTGTGAGATTGATCTTTGTTTTTGTTATTGCAAATACTGATTTTATGCTTGCCTAGAATCTTTACATCCTCTAAGATTACTCAGACTGTTATATTTCAAGAAGCAAACCTGTTTTCCGGAGTTACATAAACTGTTATTTTTCTTTATAATAATCTGATTGCAAGTATTAAGAGTACCTCCATATAGTTTCTGTTTCATAGTTGTCGAACACTGGCCTCACACAATTCCACGTTGATTTTGGCTTGGCCATTGAACAACCACTCATCAGATTATATCTGGAGAGAATGTTTGAGTGGCTGGACTGGACGTAAAAGTGCTTTTAAAATGAGAAGATGCAAAACTGAAGGATTATTGATGGTTCAGAAGATATGTGACTGATTCCTGTCATGTAACAGAGAAGAGAAGGCTGATAAAGCTCAGGAGTTCCCTTCTTGCGTCATCTTATGAAACTGAGAGTAATCACCCACTTGAAGCCTGCCATCATCAAAATTATGACTCAGTGGCTAAATCATCAAATTCAACGTCAGTAATGGAGAAAAGGAAGAAAAGAAGGGTCTTTTTTTTGGACGTCAATCCTCTTTGCTACAAGGGCAGCTCTCCCAACTTACAATCTTTTGCTCATTGGGTTTCCCTTTTGTTCTCCGAAGTTAGCCGCTCCGACCCCGTCATTGCTGTAATTTATCAAATCACTCTGTTACATGTTGCCAATTTATTTCTTGTGTTGGGATTCTGTCAGGTATTCAGTATGCTGGAATATATAATCCTATCTGTTACTTAAAAAATCCCTTCTTGGAATTGCTTAAGTCAGTCAATTATAGTGATGGGAGTGACAAACTCCTTATGAACATGTTTTTTTCAGTTGTATCTTGGTTATCTTGTTTTGTGCTGGTTGTTTTCTTCACGCTGCTAAGGAGAATTGATTTATGGAATGTTTAATTTCCGCTTGTGTGAGTATAGCATATCGAATTTCTGCTCCTGTTTCACTCATCCAAGAGTGGAATAGTTCGAGGGAATAGTTGCATATCGTCCACGTTAATTGTCCCTATGTTAGATATGGTTATAACTTAGAATACCTAAATAAATGATCTTTTAGTTTAGTTTTTAGAAAAAAAAAAAAAAGCATTCTGGGATATGGTCTCATGTAACCTTGGGATATTCTGAAAGATAACAGAATGAAGGTTATAAGGTCAGTACGTTGTATGCTCTGCGATGCTGTACTTGCCTTACTTGTTAATGCGTCTGTTATCTCTCTTTTTGCTTCACTCGTTACTTCTGGGGTGCAAAGAGAAGGCACATATGTGACTAGAATAAAGAAACAAAAGCAGGGGAGTTATTGGGTTTTTGAAAAGATTTGTAAATTCTGCATTTCTTAGATATAAATTTGAGGAAGAAAAGGAAAGGAATACTGCTAAACGCCTTAGGCTGTTATATCTTTATCCTATAAACATCTTTTATTTTTGGTAGGTAAGATTAACTAATAGGAAAGGGTCCAATTTGATCAAAACCATGAGTGGATGGCTTATTGCTCATTCGCCCCAGCGAGGTTACTGAAAATTTTTAATTACACAGGAGAATAGGAGATGTTGATTGTAATTAAGCCTTTCTTGGGCATGAATGTTATACACAGCTAGTTTCTTTCTGTTTCTTCGAACATGTATGAAAGCTTGGGTTTTTGAAACGATGCTTTTCCTTCTTCTGTTCCTTCTCTTGGTAGACATATGCGATATAAGTAACTTGTCTATTTACTTTTTGATACAATACACTTCATTTGGGATAATGATATAGGATCAACTTGTGAATGTTAAGCCTCAAGATTTCAGTGTGTAGAACTCCAGATTATTTTAGTTATCTGTTGATTGACCTCAAATAATTAGTGTGTGACACTTGTAGGTGTTAAAAAGTGTAAATTGATCTGATCATGGGGAATGAATTGGTGAATTGGAAATATATGTGTTTGGATTGCTGCATTAAAAAGGCAGGTACACTGATCACTGATGTACCAATTAATTGAATGTTTATTCATTTGTAGAGTTAAGTATGTTCAGTTGATTCACATCAGGTGATTGGATTGGATGTTTATTGGCGTGGGTGGTAAAGAATTCGGTAGGAGGATTTTCCCTAGAAGACGGCTAGGGAGAACGTTTCACTTTATATTTTTCTGTCACTTAATATTTTAGGAAACTTAACTAGTAAATCCAAGATGCACCTACTGTAAAGTACATATTTGGAAATGATATTTTCTATCATGGGGAATCCTTCCTGAGAATAGAAAAAGTGACATATCATTTTTGTTAAGGACTAGCTACTTAACACAGGAAAACTGATGTCCTGATGAGCAGTCACAAGTGTGAGTTTCAGCTGAATAACAAAATGCATATGGAGTATGTTATTAGGTTTGATGGTCGAAGAACATTTTCAATATTTGGAAGATTAAAAGAGATGGTAATTGTGTATGGAATTAGGTGGAGGTTAAAATTCTGTGGTGTGCATTTTGCGAATCCATAAGTCTCTCCACTTTTGATCTCTATTTACTTATTGTATTTTGGTTAAAAATTTATTGCCGTCTTTCCAGGTCATCTTGTGCTTGAACTAATATTTGTCACAGGTTGTGGATGGGGAAAGAGGCAATGAGTACCGCAGACATATCTTGCCATCATATAAAGCAAACAGGAGGAAATTTTCTGCTTTACAAAGAGATTCCAAGAGTAGTGTTGAGAGGACACATAAACTTGTCTTTGATGTTCTTCATGATTGCAATGTGCCTGTAAGTTGATTTCTCTATTCATTGCCTTCGGTAACTGGTTCGATTTATGCCAGTTCCACTTTAAAACTAACCATTGCAAACCCTAAATGAGACAGTTATCTTAATATGAGATGTCCATCATAAATTATGGCCTTGTCTAAATGCTTTAAAGTATTGAACACATTGATTACTTTGTTTAGGATACTGATGATTTATGCTTGATGAGCCATCATTCCTGTCAATTGCATGATGGCACGTTGTGTATCATCTGCTTTTTAGTCGAGGTTATTGGAATGATTTATTTGTGAACATAGTACGGGAAAGATGATGTGCGAAGAAAGTGACCTTTCTGATGAAGAAATATGCAATAGAGTGACGACATGTTTTCTGTCTATTTTTTGGCCTTTAAGTTACAATGTATTTCTTTGTTTGTGTGGCACAAAGATGTGCATATATCAGAAAGAAATAGACACGTGCCTTAAAAGGTTTAACTTGAATTTATGACCATTCTAATTGCTAGTACCACTTTAAAATAAAATGAATTGGCATTTCATGTTTTGTCATTGGCAGTTCTTTGTCATTAAGGTAAAACCTTGTGTGTGGAGTTGTCTGTTTCATAAAGGAGTTAGACTATGGGGAGGAATTGAGTACTAATTCTATGATCATCTAGTCAAACAATCTAAACGAAACTGGCTATGACATGCTTATTTGCTACCTTATTACATGGCAAGGTATTGTAACTTTGAAGTCAGTGAACTGTCTTATGAAAAGGTTGCTGTGATTATGTTTTCTTTCCTATGATTGCATTTTCACCTTGATACATGACTGAGTAAATATTCTCAAGGTTTGTACGCACTTGTAAGCAGTGCTTTGCTGTTAATATCTGCCACGTTGACCACTATATGCTGCAACCTGAATTTTCTCTACCAGCTGTGTTATTTTTTTTTCAGTCAGATGGTGTCAATTCAAGCCAATCAGAATCGGAATGTGTACATTATTGTACATACTGTGAATGTCTAACTTCAATTGCAAATCATTTGCAGGTGGTGAAAATCGAGGCTCATGAAGCTGATGATGTTGTAGCAACACTTGTGGGCCAAGTATTGTCTCGAGGATACCAAGCTGTCATTGCATCTCCTGACAAAGATTTTAAGCAATTGATTTCTGAAGATGTGCAAATAGTTTTGCCTATTCAGGAGCTTGATAGGTGGTCATTTTACACCCTGAACAACTACATATCTCAGTATGGTTGCGATCCGGTCTCTGATTTGAGTATGAGTGAGTATCTGAACCCTCTGTAAGTGAAGTTTGATTGTAGCAAAATATCAATCGGGGAGCATGAGGATAATACTTCAAATCACCTGTCTAGCTTGGAAGTAAATATTTGAGTGCTTACCTTTTCTGTTTCCAAGTATGTTTTGAAGAAAACGAAGTGTGGGCTTATGTCGTAATCGATGTACAGCAACATAGTCTTGCATTAGTTTGTCCATGATGAATGTCTTTCTCATGTCATCGTTTTGTGCCGTGCCACCCTACATTTCCACTAGTTTGTTGGTTTGTTTTTCTAACGTTTCCTTGCCAAACTTACAATCAATTTTTTTCTTATAACAAATAAAATGCCTATTAAGTTGCAGTTATGATGTCATTTAAGTAATCCACTTCCAGCGCATGTTAGATATTCCTTGGAAACTGATAGCAAGTTCCCAATCTAAATTGCCCATAGTTACATTTATATCCTGCTTTATTAGTGTATGGTAAAAGTTACTTGGAACTGTTCCATCACAATTATCTTAGAATCGCATTATCTTATATTTGCTCATTATGATCATCCTGGAGTTGTTGGAACTTAATCCTGTGTTACTTGTACACTTTTGTTTATTCAGAAACATATAATTAATCTGGCTTGACGTCAGCAACTTTCATTCTCTTTGTCGTGAAAATGTTCGGCAGATCTGTTGTAACGCAGCTTTGAATGACTCTGGCAATAGATAAGTCTTTTGCACTTGCCCCTATCTTTTTTAGAAATACCTGCAAATTTATACATTGTACAGATTTTTTTGACTCTAATTGTGCCAGTGCAATCATAAATCTTCTCAAAGGATAAAATGAGAGGATTTCTTTTTTTTAAAAAAAAAAAAAAAAATTGGATGTCCCTGATGAGTATCGAACCCTCAACCTCCCGATAATAACCATCCCCTATCCGAAATCCCCTAAACACCCCACCAACCCTCCCACCCCAAATGAGAGGATTACATATTTTGTTTCTAATGAAGAATTTTAATCAGTCATAAGTTCCACCTGTTATTCAAAGCATTTTCTTAATATTTTGCTAGTTCCACCTGCATAAAGATAAAATGCTTGTCTATAGATTGTTTATTTGTTATGTACTTCTTTCAAATGTTTGTATTTCTTGTGAATTTACCTTTCTCTTTCAGAGAATGTTGTCAATGTGAAAGTCATAGAGGGTTTGTTCTCTGGAAAGTAATGTTTCTTTCTACTTCTATTGAAGGCCCATATAAACCCACTTGTGATTCCACCTCAAAACCAATTGGCAATGAGGGGAGTAGCACATGGGACTTATATGGTGGTTTTCAATTGTTTCATTCTTTCCACGGGGGACCAGGGAACATGAGGCCATTTTTATTCATTTTAACATCTTCCCTTCTTGTTCTTTATTTCTGTTAAAATCAGAGAGTTTACCATGAAAATGAATGAAAGATTTCTGCTGAAAAAGGAACTGAGATTTTTGTTGAAAAGAGTTGTGTTCTCCTTGTTGGAGAGCCATCTTTATATATAGGAAATGTATTAGCACAACATACAGATAGATACAGATCTAAATCTAACCATATTCTATCTTTGAAATTTTAACATTTACAGCTAAATTACAAAAACTAAGACAATGAAATCTGCCAACTGTAATCTGTAAATCTTAGAAGATTTGCTGATTCTGTTGACAATTTCCATCACCCTCTCTCCTTCTCAAAATAACCTTCATTAGGCAATTACTTGACAGGATGCTTCTTGGGCGATGAAGTTGATGGTGTTCCTGGAATTCAAAAGTTTTTTCCTGGTTTTGGTCGAAAGACTGTGGTAAAACTCTTAAAGAAACATGGCTCTCTGCAAGACTTGCTTAATGCTGCTGCTGTAAGAACTGTTGCCAAACCATATGCCCAAGATGCCCTCATAAAGTATGCTGATGAACTGAGAAGAAACTACGAAGTACTTTCTCTGAAGAGGTAAGCTGTGCCTTTTTACACCTCCTTTATTAATGACTTGGATTTTCCTTCGGCAATCTTATGTTTTCATGTTGATTTTGACGAATTATCACAGGGATGTTGACGTACAAATTCAAGAGCCTTGGCTGTTTGAAAGAGATCCTCACAATGATTCAGTTTCAATATCAAAGTTCATCAGCTTAGTGAGAAAAACGGAGACCTTCAATTGGCGAAGAGAGTCTTGTTTGAAGGGTTAAACTTCCAAGTGGATGCTGAAGTCTCTAAAAGGTTGGAGCACTTGTCACTGATCACTTTTGTTTAACATTCTTCTCATATCTAATTCATTGCTTAATATTATTATTGCTGTTCGAGATAAAAATTCTATGCATAGTTCACTGTTTAAAAACTCCATGGTTCGATGAGGTTGCAAAATCTGTTGTGTTCTTGCTGTTATGCACTTACGAAAAAGTGTTGAATATATAACTATGATTTTTTTATTTTCTTTATTAATATTTTTTTTAGTATTTCCAAGGCACTATTGCTATTAATCTGCTTGTTAAATAATGAACATCTCAGAGAGTGGTGCAATTAGCCTGAAGTGTGGTATGGTATAGGACACTGTAAATTAGTTAAAGGGAGGATGCACCCTACCACTCAACCACACCCTGGCTTCATAATGGGTTCATTTGGATATGAGACGACAGTGGTGGGATGGCCAAACAGGGATAAGTTGAGCAAAATTCAGATGGCAATTATTATTTACTACTACTACTTTATTATGGTATGGGACCGGGCGTGGCTTTGGTTAACTGACTTATCTTCAGTTCTTCCTTTAAGTCATTCCCAGGTTTTTTATCCAACTTTCAAATCTCAATTCTTGCAATAAATTTCACAAACTCATTAAAAGTTTTTTATTTACACTCCTTAATATCGAAAAGGGCTGGCTGGTTGTTAGTTGTTACAGAGGAAAAGAAGAAAAGCTTGATGATAGTTCAGTCCACCATTTTTCCAGCTTTAAAGCTAACGACCTTGTTGCTGAGACTTCAGAATCCTATTCTAAGTGCAACCCATAATTCTCGTTTCTCAGCTTCATTTCAGTGGCCCAACTTCTTTTTTCCAAAGAAGTTCTCTTATCAGGCTAACAAACCCTTTTTGCAAGCTTTATTTTTTATTACTGTTTTGGGTTGTTGGAGTTGTCTTCTTCTTTGGTTCCCTCTGATACTGAATTTTGTTTTTTTTTTTGTGAGTTTCTTTGCTTTCTCTATTTGGTATATAAGTCATGCTTGTAGAGTTCCCTCATTTGATTTAACTCTGTAAAATATTGCCGTCGGTAAAATGGGCCACTTGTAATTGTGATTGTTGGATGCATTCTGTCTACTTTGATACCAACTACTTGTGTAAAATCCCAAATCCTAACATTGTTGTAGCGGTACTTTTGCTTTTATGTCCATTTTTGGCTGTGGTAATCTAAATTTTCAGCAGAAATTCAACTTGACATTCAAGTCCTCATTTCATGGAGACAAGGAGAAGGGAAAGTAGCAGCGAACTAAGTAAAACAGATAAAGGTGCTTTTTTGGGTTCTTTGGGGGAGAGGGGAGAGGGAGTATGTTTAGAAGCATTCAGGTTTCAGAGAAGGATAACAATTTTCGATCTGATTTTTTTCTTTGTTTCTTCTCTTATTTTCCATACCTGGGGCTACTTAATCTTGATCACAATATCTAACTGTTGATGCCGCATAATAGATACTCCAGTACCTACAGTCAACATTGAGATTTTAGTTTAAGGGCAGTAGTCTTAACCACTTGTAGTTAGTATCTTTTTATTCTATGCAAGCCATCACACATATTTGGAAAGGAACTAAAAAGTATTTCAATTTCACTTTTAACAAGAGCTGAAGGTAACTTTCTATATTTGTTCTGAAGTGATTTTTGAGTTTGATGATTGTATTGTCTGCTTGTTTTATTTGTTACTTATCATGTAGTTTATCAAAATACCCAGAGAACACAATTTGGAGCAATGTACAAAAGTATAAACAGATGACTTGGAAGATGTAGTTGTATCTTTTTATGACTTTTGGAATCATCCTCCCAAAGAAGCACTTTGGGGTTTATCTTTGTTCTTGTTATTGCTAATATTGATCCTACGCTGGCCTTGATTTTTTACATCCTCTTAGATTACTCAGACTCTGTTATATTTCTAGAAGAAAACCCACGTTAGGAGTTTTACAAACTGTTACTTAATTTTGTTTTCCTTTTAATATTCCGGGTACAAGTGTTAAGAGTGCCTCCATATAGCTTCTATCCGTAGTTGTCAAATCAAGTTATACTGGCCTCACAATACCACCTTGATTTTGCCTCGGCCATCTATCAACCACTCATCAGATTTTAACTTGAGAAATTGCTTTGAGTGGCTTGAGTGGACACAAATATGCTAGAAAATGAGAAGTAGATGGAGAACTGCAGGATTAATGGACAGTTCGGAAGATCTGTGTGTATAATTTTCTGTCATGTAACAGAAAACAGTGGGCTGAATGTTTAGCAGGGAACTAGTTATGGTGGATATGGAAAGAAGATGGCTTTTGATGATGAATTAGTGGATACTTTAGTTGAATCGGTTAAGGAAATAGTACTTTAATGAACCAGAAGTAATGGTTATAGGTAACCCTTTATTGAATGTTTGAAGAAATGTTGCTGTAGGCTTTACCATATTTAGATTTTGATCTGTTGAAAGTACTGGTAAGTGGTAAAAAGGTTCATCCTAAACTATCTGTAACTTTACATTAACATAGTTACATTTTTGACCAATCGCCTTTAAGAGTCTTGATACATACTTTTGATAGAGCTTAATTTGAGAGAAACCATTGTCACTTCAAATTTCAGATTGCAAGTAGCAAACCAACAATTATCCTCAGAAGCTGAGGGTCAAAAACTTCTGTGACTTCATTCCCCTTTCCTGAAACATTGTGGAATTGGCTTTAAGCGTCCTGTGAAGTTTTTTTTGGTAAATGTTAGTTCGACTGAAAAACTGTTTTGGGGGAACTTTCTAATATATGAAGGACAAATAGGCATCTATCCATGGAAACTTTGGCACAAAAAGTTTTCTTGGTGGGTTTTCCAGATAAGGGAACCAAAACTTTGGAAATGTGAACGATCAAAAGAACGTTGCAAAACTAGGCGGAGCTTTTACTTGAAGATCACTCTCTCTTCTAGTAATTCTTTTTCTGACTGTATTTTCAGCTTTTTGTCGGAAAGCTTTGAAGTGAATCTCTATAATATCTGCTTGGCCATTTAATTAATTATTCATACGCTAGTGATGTCAAAGGTGCCTCCAGATTTACCTATTCTCTCTTCATCTTTTCTTAAGAATCGAATGACTTAGTAGTTATATAAAGATAATCATCAAATTGTTTATAGGATCCTGCTTCAACATTTTCAAGGTTAGTTGAAGAAGGGGTAAGTCTTGCGGGAAAGAACTCCGTTTATGTCTCCTGCTTCTGCAGTGGAGTAATATTTTGGTTAGCTTCTGAACAAGTCACACTCGACAGTGAGACTGTCACAATAAATGAAGTGAGATTCCTTCAAAAGAAATATCACAAATGCACTTGTAACAGTTAAAGCATACTTTATCCCTTCTATCTTATATTCTCAACATATGTTCTTATAAATTTCAGGAGCAAGGAGCAGAGACACTAAACTAGTTCAGTAGAGCTATTTGAATGTGGAGCTGTAATGCTGAGAAGGAAATTTTATGCCGCTGCTACAAAAATATCTGCTTTAGGCCATCAACAAATGGGATGATGATGACCAGGACCGTGCTCAAGTATGAAATCTCATCTCTTTTCTGCATTCCTTTTTTTTTTTGGTAAAATCTTTTCGGCATTCCTACATTCACTTAAACATTTTCTAGGAATTTTCTCTTTAAAAGAAGTTGTTCTGTAAATAAGACATTTGTTTTGCTGCAACTTTGAATAGGTTTATAATGCACTTGGAATCAGTTATGTACATGATTAAAAGCTAGACAAAGGGAATAGGACTTGCAGTTTGAGAAGGCAGTAAAACTTCATCTAGGTTATGTAACAGCTTGGAACAACCTTGGTGACAACTAAGAAGAGGATTTTAACTCAACCCTAAAGGCAATAGAAGAGGGTCTGCTTTGATCCAAACAATAACGTTACTCGTCCCGGGTGCAAGGCATTGAAGAGTAGAATAAAAGTGTACGAAGGAGTTGAGATCAATCAAGAAGAGTTGATTCTAGGGAGCATTGCTCTGCAATGAATGTATGTAAGAGGTTCATAATCACATTATTATTAACCTGGCAGTTAACCGAACACAGTTTTGATGAAAGGACGAGACTTATTCTTAAAATGTTCCAAATGGCCATATGAACAGAATGGACTGCGAGATTCAGGAAGATATATTGGTCGTTGTGAATTGCAAAGGGAACCTCCTTTCTTTTTCTGTGTGTTAATGGGGTTGATTTGACTGAAATATCAATTTTTCCTTGTAGTCCCTTAAGTTTTTGTCTTTTGTATTTTACACCTCAAAACTTCTTTAGTTTTGAAGTCAGACTATCAGAGCCCAAATCGCTAGCCCACTCGGGGAAGACAAAAGCTTTCGCAGCATTTTCTGATTCGATAAATGGTCTGCTGCCTCCTTATTGATCTTCCTTCATTCTTATAGTCCTTTAATACATCTCTAATCACCCTTCCAAAAGAATCATAAGACGTAACATGAAGCAAAATCTACCCTAAAATACTACACAAATCTACTTTAAAACACCACACAAATGATCGGAAGTAAAATGACAAATCACGATACCTGTCAACTCATCGATGAATGGTGACATACTATTGCGATGAAGTATAGTTAAGGTTTTTTTTTTTTTTTCCTCTATCTCATAATAATTATCTTATTTATTATACGAAGAAAGTAACATAGTCAAATTTGTAGTGAAAACTCAAATATTTGTGGCATCAACCTTGCGCAATTTGTAAATAGAGAATCAATGCATTTTGTTTGGAGTTAATTGTGTCATGGAATTGATATGAAGTATATAAAGCTAGGAAGAATAATGCGATACTAAAGAAAACATCAAATTATTACAAACAAACTCCCCTGTCCCCAAAAAAAAAAACAGAAAAAAAAATTTAATTTGAGTTTTGAGATTTGACTAGTTATATGTTTTAATGTTTTCATATTATTCTAAAAAAATAGTTACCGTTAGTACAAAATTTCCAAACTCTTTTAATATAAATCTAAAAATTCGATGTAAAGTATTTTAAATACAAATTTCAAAATTCAATCGAAAATTTTTGTTTTTTTGTTTTGTTGAACAGAGAAAGTACGTTTAACTCGTCGCCTTTATTAATTTAATTATATCGTCTTGCATTTTAGTATGGGATTACATCTTAGTATGCTTTTAGTGCTTTATTAGACTTAGAATTTTCCTTCTAGAATTTTAAATTTTTAAGTTAGGATACGATATCTTCAAAATTCTTTATAAAACCGCAAAATCTTTTTTAACTTGTTAAATAAATTGCTAAAGAAATTCACCATTTGCTAAAGAAGCAAAATTACATATTATCAACGACTCAACTGAAAAGCATTAATAATTGTGCAAATGAAAACAATAAATAATTCGGCATAAACAAAAAAGAAGGAAAGAATTACGTACACACATAAGTAAATCGGAATTATATTAGGAAATGATAATTCTATCATGTTTTTAATCGACCAAATGAAAATTCATAATTTTAATTTTTACGAAAAATACCAAACAGCACATAATTAGTGAAGGTTGGATTATTACTTTCTGTAAAGAGTAAAGGCGGTTAGAAGTGTTCTTCAATTAACCACTCCTTAAAACAAAACAGGGAAGCCATTAATGAACACAAAATTCTGTCCGAACTCTTCTTCTAATCTTCCGTTAATCCCAAGTATACAATGCCCAGAGTGAGAAATTGGCAGGCTATTTCCAATCCAGTTCCTGCTTTAATTATATGGTTGATTTCAGCTCTGACTTTCTACATTCTGTTTCAAATGGCGCTCCGTAATTCAACCCCTTCTTCTTCTACAGGTGATTTAGTTTGGTGTAGTCTCAGTTAAATTCTGCATTGTAAAATTCTCTCTGGGTCATTAGTTTTGTTCCATATATGGATGTTTGAGTTTGATGATTATGTTTTTCGTTTCAACGATTTGAGTTCAAAGGCAGTATTTATCGGAAATAGGAAGCAGAATCTTTAAGGAGCTGCGGGCATGTAATATGTTTAAGGAATGAATTTGAAAGTGAATCGATTAAGGCTTTAGTCAAATGTATAATACTAGAAGCACTAGAATTAGTACTTTGCTCTGGCAGAGTGGCATTGTTATTGATCCAGTGGTTTTGTTGTTACCTGTATTTGTACTATAGTTCTGCAACAAAATTCTAGCGCAATCTGTTTGGTGCAATGCGAACTGAATTATGCAACTCTATTTGTTAGGATGGTCGTTATCTAATGTGGAAAGAAGAACAAAATTATATGATGAATTGTCAAGGGAGTTGGATGTGAAGGGAGCTGCTTTCCTAAAGAATGGAGAAACTTCACAGTCCTTATCCCTGTCGGATCTTTTCACAGTAAAGAATGGAGCTGTGACACCTGTCCTTAGGGTATAATTTGCAAGTGGATTGTCTGAGTTATATGGTTTCCGTTCTCATTTTTCAGGCAAATGACAAGCTGTTTGCTTTTAATTACATGTGTAGGCAGCAAATCCTCCAGTGAGAGCAAACGTTTTGTATATGAGCCCTCAATACTCTCTTCCTGTAGCGTAAGTAGTCAATACCTTCATGCTTGTCTTTCTTTCTCTGATTTGATGTTATCATTTCACTAGGGCCGTTAAAGCTTGAAACGTCATTCAAAATACAGTTATAACTTTATAATCATGTATTTTGGCCAAATTATGTCGTAATTTGAATCATATGGATATGAGAATGCAATCGTTATCCATCTGTCATAAAAGCACCACTAGTTTGAACTTCTCATCAGACTATGGAGCTGGGAGAACTTTTCTATACAAACTAAATCCTATTATAGGCTTTATGGGTATGGACAATTCATGTTAGCATCCATATGTGAAGTTTTGATTCCTTACCGTTCTTAGCAGTGAAAGGATGTTGATTTTCTGTATTGCCATATCATGCAGCTAAAGCATTCTACTTTTAGCTTTAGAATACAACAGTACGAATAACCATAAAAAGGGGAAAGATTAACTTCCCTAGCTTTGTTTGACTTTCTTCAGTTCTGCCAATGAAGTCAATGTGACTATTGAATATAATGAAGAAAAGAGTCCTTGCCTGTGTAAACAATGATTTCCTCTAGTTTCAGGAATGCAAGGAGAATGCAACATTCTCGAATCCTACACTCCTAAAGGGCAATCATAGAATGATGTGACCTCTCACAGTATTAGTAATACAGGGACTTCGCATGGATGATTGAATATTGTGGTCAATCCTCTGGTGCTTTTTTCTGACCCTCCTATTTCTCGCAGAGAAACCAGAAGATTGTCTCTGTAAACCCTATTTATGTTTAGACCAGATTTCGTCTCTTGTGCTTTCTTACTGTCATGGATTGAGATTGTAAATGTTATTGGCTTCCTCTGATTCAATTTTCGTGTATGCGCTTGCCTGTATCTATATTCTGAAACTGGGAGAAAAATGTTTTTCCTTCAAAGCGGCCCAAGTATTAGATTGTTAACAGGAAGTTCACATGGTATTTTCCGGATAATATTAGTGAATTTTTGTCGCACATTGGGGTCCGTTTGTGAATTTGAGGTTCACATGTAGATTGCCATAATGGCCCATTCTTCAAAATTTTTTGACAAAAATAGACAAGTGGCTCTAGAATCTATTGGTTGACTATTCAGGATACCACAGGTCATAAATTAGGCATTAAGTTGTTTAGTTGTTTTTTTGCTTATGATAATTAACAGTTAGCTGGAGAAAAGTTGAACAATTCATTCATATATCTTTTTCTTCTCACGGCAACACTTTGATTTCTGTACCTTGTTCCATTTCTTGTCTTGCATTCGAATGTTTGATATGAATTATATGTGACCACTTATTCTTACTGCAGGGAGGCTGTTCAGAAAGTATTCATGCCATATTTTGACAAAGGTGAGATCTCTTTTCTTTCAAGTTTAAGCAACAAAAGTGACTACTTTCCTTTATTTTTACATGAGTGGAGAAGTTACTTCCGGAAGTATTTCAATGTACGTATATGTTTTCTGTTGTCAGGATCAAAACATGTTTTACTAATAGCTGAATATGCGTATGCATTTTGTGGTCAGTGATCTGGTTTCAGAACTCTACGTTGTACCATTTCAGCATGTTTCATGCTTCACATCACATTACTCCTGTTACTGCCTCAGAAGTAGAGGTTAGTGCCTTCTCATTCTCTCATTTAATTCTTAGATGATACTCATGAAGGGTCTGCATGCCCATTTAGATGTTAGATGGTACTCAATCTCTTATGGTCAACTTAATTTTTCAGATTGAAGCTGAAGCAAATGCTGTTAAAGCCGTCGCGAAGGATGTATGCCCATTAAAAATTTCCTTGGATCGAGTGGTTTTGACTTCTACTGGTGTGCTTCTTGGTTGTTGGCAGGTTTGCTTGTTACTCGACCACACCCCCAATCCCACGGCCCCATCAATCTCCTCGGCCCTCATATATCTTACATACTTATGTTGTGGTGTTGTACATTTTGAAAATCACTTTTCCACCTTGTGACTAAAAGGGGAATGACGACCTATGATCCATAAGCCAATCCCACAGTGGGAAAAAGGCTTCTGGGTTTGTTACTTCGTTGCTTTTGGAATTTGGTATTATTGAGTGATCTTCCTGGACATGATTATAAACTTATCCATCTGTTGGTTTACTATTATGAAGTATCTGTTTGCAACTACAATGATAGCAGCCGGACTGATCATAGTATGCTTGTTTTGTTCTCATCATTTGACCATGAAGTTGTTCTGCCCCGTATATATGCTATCATTTTGACTTTCATGTTCATGTGTTTTCTCATGTTATCTCCTTTATCTAAGAAAGAACCTATGGTTTTGAATCTCATCACATCATACGTAGAAGAAATATGCAACAATTTGGTTATAGGTTTAAACTAACCAATCTGTAAATCAGTTGCATCAAAACATTGAGCATTATATCCACCACGTATCCAATTTAAGGGTTTTTTTTAATGATTTTCATTTTTAGGTTATCTCTGGTTTGGATCCTGCAGTCCTTCGTGATAGGTTGAGATCAGCTCTTCCCCAGGCACCAGCTATTCAACTAGTAAGGAACAAACTTATCTTTTCGTTTTCTCCCTATCCTAAAAAGCAGTTTGAAGGCATATAAATGTGCAGGAATCCATGGTTGTCTTGCCTTTCTTTTCAAAGGAAAAGAATTTTCGCTGACTTCGCACATCTATGTTCTTTTATTATGATGAATAGTAGTCTGCAATTGCCTCTATTCTCTTGAATTTCTCAAAACAAAGGGAATGCATTTACACAATTGTCCCTTCAGTTCACTTTTAACTGTCTGTGTAATGCCTTCTACAAACATTTAAATAACTTCTATTGCTGGCTTTGTGTTGTCATTGAAAGGTTTAGGAACTATAAGATCTCTTATCGACCTTCAATCATTGCAAATGAACCTAATTTCATATTGAACTTTTACCTGCAGTATGATAGTGCTATTTTTCACACATCACTTGCCAGGCTTCTTGGTCACCCAACTAATTTTCCCAAGGTATCACTCTTTCCTCCATCGAAAATGATATCTTTACTTTTCTTAGTAATAGTTAGACGTCCAATTCATTGCATTATGGCAGTATTGTTGCCAGCAGCAATTAAGCAGCTTTATAAATCATACACTTTCACAAGCTTCAGGACACTAATTCATTACGGATTCTGCTTCATGGAATGCGTGAATACAAAATCTGACGTATGAAAAAGAAAAGGAAAAAAAAATCCAGAATATTGTCCCTTCATTTTGGGGCATCAATCTCAAAAGATACTGTACAACTTACGCATAACATCTGAAAACTGGAGTGTTTTTGTGACAGGCTTAACTTATCAATAACATGAGTTATCTTCCAACTCGGTTCATTTTAATTCTTTTTAGCATTGTTCCATGATAATTCATGTCTTCCTTTCTTCAACAGGAGCAGAAGATATCGGAACTGCAGTTTCTCCATGAACTTGTAAATGAGCTAAATAGGAAGCTCCGTGGCTTTCAGGTAGAATCTCCTATTTGATACCATTGCATAATTTATTAGTAACACATTTCAGTTCGGTATGGTATTGTATATTATCGGTGTTGAATTCGGCAACAGTAATAAGGCTGCGATTTCTAATGTGGTTGGTGTGGAGGCTTTAGGGGTGGGGTGTTCGGGGAGCATCTTCTTAGATTCTCCATGAATGCTGGATAATCTTGTGCAGATACCTTTACTCTGTGCAAAGGTCAAGGGTTCTGTGCATTTACTTTTTCAACTGCATTTGTGCAGGCAACAATTTCTGAACTATGGTATGTGGAAGAGTATGATCTCTTGGCACTTGCCTTGAATGGAAGAGTGAAAGCTCGCAAGTTTCAACTGAGCTGTTCAAAAACCTGAGAATTCAAGATGACTGTAGCTTTCTCCGTTGATGTGAAACTCCCCGGCATAGTAACGCTGCTCCAAATTGTAGTTGGAGTCTTGGAGATAGTATATATAACATCAAAATGGCACATTGAAAAGAAAAGAGGATGTTTCTGAATTAAAGTGTCTTATAAAGGTTTTTTTTTTTTCCTTTGTATATTGTATACGGTGTTCTAAGTATATTGCACTCGGACTAATTTGTACCGAGTCGGATCGGTCTCTTTTTAGAGGGAAAGTTTTCTCAACATTATTTTTTTCATTCAGGAGACTTGAACCTGAGATCTCGCTTAAGGGAATTAAAGCAGCTTACCATTGAGTGTTGGTTATAAAGGGTTGATATATGTTGTAACATTTGTTTCCTGCATGCAATTGCAATTTGCAGTTGGGCTCAGAATGGCCAATATCTCAAGCCCATTACTTTGCTATTTACTCAGACCACCATAAGTTAATTCATTGCTAACTCATTATAATCATTAATTTACCTCTTGTAAAAAAAATTTTTTAGGAAATGGTATGTAAATTATAAGTAAATCATAATATATTATTTTCGATATATTATACAAGTCATGTTCAAAATTATCATCTCGGCTAATCTAAATTTGAAAGAATAATTATAATAGTCTTTCAAAAAATTAAAAGAATAAGTCAACCAATATACAAGAAAATTACGATATCTGATATGTATGAAATGTGGTTTCTACAAACTCCTTAGACATTAATCTTAACAAACAATTTGTATGACATCGACTTTGTATGGATGTTTCGTACGTGTAAACTTTTGAGGATTCATTTACATAAGCTGGAAAACATCATCTCAATGGGAAAAAAAAATCAATTTCTATGGCGTTTTCTTAATTTGCATGGATATGATCTATATTTGGAAAGCTAAATTTATGAGGGTTTCAACTGCAAACGCCTCAAATATATAATTAACCCTCAGCATGCAGCATGTTCTAGACATGCAAATGGTCCTCCTTTCCTATAACCCTAATTTCCATCATCAAATATCAAAAACTAAATTCCATATAATTAAGCTAGCACCACAAAAACTAACCCAGAAAAAAAATGAAGAAGTCAGTTTTTTTTTGCCGCAATGATGCTGGTAGTTTTCTTCCTCTCTGGCCTAGCTCAGGCAGCCGACCAAGGTGACGGCCGCGAGAAGTGCCAGGGGGAGGTGGAGGCGCAATTGGACCGAATTCGCAGTTGCACCGGCTACTTGACGTATAGCGAGGGACGAGGAGGATGGCGGGAGGGGCAGCGCAACCTCGATGCTTGCTGCCAGGGCATCCGGACAGCCTCCGAGGAGTGCCGGTGCGCGGCCGCAAGACAGGCGGAATGGATGATAACGGCAGATTGGGCGAAAGGAGAAATAAGGGAGCGAATGAGAAAGACTGCTAATAGCCTTCCACAAAAATGCAAGGTGCCCCCATATCAATGCAATGTGTATTGATTTTCAGGAAATTAATCAATTCTTAGGTCTTTCCAAATAATCAATCAAATAAAGGCCCTTTTCAAAAAAAAAAAAAAAATCAAATAAACACTACCTATTGCAGCTATAGCTATATATAGCTTGTTTTGTAACATAACTGTGGGCTGTTATATATATATATATATATATATATATATATATATTATTACGTGGTGATTCATTCAAGTATCACGAGTAAGAATTGCTAACTCATAGTATCTTCCGTTACATAATAAGTGTAAGGTTTACTGTACATGTTGAGAGGGAGAAAAAAAAATAATCTAGCATTGAGAACGTTTGGGATGGACTTAAGCAAATTACTGACATAACCGTGTTCGATTATTATATTAGAAATTTGTCAAATAAATATCCTAATATTACGAAATAAATTGGAGAAATAAAAACTCCTATACTTCTTCTAGTCTTTAATTGGGTATTTCTCAAACACCTAGCGACCTTGATGGGTATCCCCAATTGCAAGCCTTTATTGCAGACATCCGAGATGGATATGCAATCGTCTTGTGGAGAGGCAGAGACGATGCAGTTCTTCAGAGCAATAAGAGGGTTTCAACTCCACTTCATTTGTGAATGGATTCAATTGAATCAAAGAATGAATCTTTCTTCCATTTCATGCAGTTATCTACGCTTGCACGTCTTAGTATAAGGCAAAAAGGCTGGATTGTCGAGAGAGATGAAAAGGAATCTTTGCAGGAGCCTATGAATCTCTATTTTTTGCAGCTACACTTGGCATTTATCAACTTTTGGTTGTCTTTCAAATACTTAGCTTTCTAGCAGTGTGGTCAGCAAGGGAGTAAAGAAACAACAATCTTCAATGAAATGAACCACAAAGATGCATTTTACCAAAAACTAAAATGAGTGTAAATGAGTCATAATCATCAAAGAAGAAAATATAGAAAGAAAAAACAAACTGGAGGAATATTCAAGGCATAAATGAAATTGGCTCAAACATATTTAAAGTGCAAGTTGGAAATTGGAAATAAACAATTATTTTCAGGCTTCTCAAATGAAGGTTTTTATTTGTCTCTACAAAGCTATCGTCTCCTAGCTCGACATCATTGTAAAGTCAACAACATTGTAAGGGAAATCTTCAAGGTCATTATGTACTTCCTACTATCCTTATTATAAGACATTTTGATTTATTTTAAAGTATATATTTTTAATTAAAAAAATTAAAAAATCACATTTATTGTATTTTCCTAATTATTATAAAATATTACTATTTTTAAGATTTTATTTCAATTGGAAGAATATACTAAATAAAACTTATCACAAATTAAAATGTCTTCTAATAAGTACAGAAAAGAGTACTATATTTTAATAGAATCCACGCAGTAGCTATGCTAATTACATGCAAAGTCAGAAAAGAAGGTTACCTTTTATGCGCTTTTACATACAAACATAAAAAAGTGTAGTAACAAAATTCTAAAGCGCTGTAACTGGAAGTTATAAGTCCTTTTACAAACACTAGTTAATTAGCTTAGGAATCCAAATATACTAGTAACCGGCCGGTTACCATTTTATAATTTTAGAAAATTTTGTCAAAAAAGAATATTCAATATAATGAATAAATGCTAAACATCAAATCAAAATGCATACATCATCAAATTTAATAAAGTGGTTGTACGCTACCTAGGGTTAAAAAAATGCACTAAACGTATTTAAAATCATGCAACAAAATCATCAACTTTTGATTAAGTAACAAAACTTAATTGAACATGTTAAAATTAACAACAACCTAACAGTATCTATGACATCTACTTTGCATGGATAACAATACGTGTACAACTTTTGAGGATTCGACAAACATAGTCACATATAGATTGCAAAAAATCTTAAAGAGACAACAATTTCAATGACATCTTCTCCAGTTTGCAATTTTGCATGGATAATGGTTATCTATTAACATTTTGTAAGCTTCTGACGATTCAAATTCACAAAATACAGCAAAACACCTTAAATCCTTCTGCATGCAACACGTTCTAGAAATGCAATATGCATCTTCTCCCTTCCTATAAATACCCTAATTTCCATCATCAAATGTTCATAAAATAATTTCACAGTAAGCTAATCCCTTATTAATTTTCTTTTTTTTAAAATAAAGATGGCCAAGTCCGTTTCTGTTGTAGCAATCATAGTAGTTTTAGTACTCTTGAGCCTAGCTCAGGCCACAGAGCTCACAAAAAACACCACCAGTGGCGTTGATGAGGAAAAACCCTTGATTCCTCCGGGCCGAGAGCCGTGGCGGCAGAGATGCGATCAGCAAATCAAGCAACAGATGGGCCATATTCGGGGTTGTCGGGCTTACTTAACGTACATAACTCGGCCGGAAACTCAACCCGGAGGAGGCCGGGGGACAGCCCAACAGTTCCTGATGGATTGTTGCCACGGCATCAAGAACATGCCGGAGCAGTGCCGGTGTGAGGCCGTGGAAAGGGCACTGAATTTGCAGCCAGGGGAGTTTCAGTTTGTAAGAATGAATAATATGAGGACGATTGCTAGGTTCCTTCCACAAATGTGCTATCTCGACAGTCCAAAACAATGCACTGTGTAATAGTTGATTAGTTAGGATGTTAATCAACTTTGTAATTCCTATTAAACAATAAATATAGCTACCTATATAGCATCTATACAAACATACATATATATATATATATATATATATATGTGTGTGTGTGTGTGTGTGTGTGTGTATTGTTGGTTTTGTAATAAAATGTCAATAAAATGTGCTGTTATTTCATTTACTGCATGATGCTTCAATATTCAACTATACATCATGACAATACACATTTGGGACGAACTTTCCATACACAAATTAAGAATCCTCGAAATAAAAATTTCAAAAATCGGCAAAATTTTCGTTGTTTTAATATACAACAACGATAACTATTATTAATTGAGAGGGAGTGAGTATTTCATCAAATGTGTTCGAGCGCTTTGATTACGTACTATAGCCCAACACCAATTAATGAAAAATTTTGGGATTTTCAATTAGTAGCATTCTTGATTTAGGCAATTTTCTTTTCGCGGAATATAACTTTACCAAAAAAGAAAATATTGTAGTACAGGGAAAATGATTCCCACTGGAAAAAAAAAAGGTTGACCAAAAGTGACTGCAAACTTCTCTCAATTAGACAATATCGATCCTTGATCATTATACTATAGACGTATTTAGTTTTATTTTGTGTCCTAAATAGTGCGTAGTGCGTACATATAAGTAACGTTCTTAGGATTGAATCAGACCAAATACCATAGCTTGCTCACTTATCCAACTCAATTGGTATGAGCAAAATTCTTTTTCTTTTTAAAAAAATTATATGACATCTTACTTCATGTATTTCCCCAACGTGTAAACTCTCCAAGGTAGAACTCCACATAGCAAACACGTTTATACATGATGGAATCATTTAATCTCATCTCTCCTACATAGAAAATAAAGTCCTAAATAACATGCACTCTCCACTCCATGAATTTCTATCACCAAAAAAAAAAAAAAAAAGCCTAGAAAAGTTAAGTTGTGCAACTAATTAATCTATGGGAGGGAAAAAAAAATGCCAAAGTCAATTTAACCTACGCAGCGGCCGAAGAGGACCGCCACTGGAGAAGAAGAGAGATTGCAAGTTTGAGATTGGTCGCGGCATTCGGTTCCTTCGCTATTGCGAGTGCTACTTGCATATTATAAAGGGCGCGCATGATTGCGGCGAAACAGGCACGCCGATGATCGATATCGACCCGGACGTGTTGTACGAGATACCGTGTTGCGAGACACTACAGGGTATGCCGGAGGAGTGTCGGTGCGGCGCGGTGAGGGCGGTGCTAAGGATGCTTCAGGAAGATTGGCCGGAAGAAGGGATGGAGGAGATGAAGAAGTTGGCAAAGCTTCCTTCCATGTGTTTGTCACGTGGTCCTCAACAATGCCAAGTTTAAATTTTTTTATTATTTTTTTTTAGAATAAAAGTTGTTTTCAAACCATTTTGCAGAATAGAAATTAGAAACTCCATACAGAAAACTCAAGTACTTAGACAAAGCATCACCTAGATGCCCCTAGACGAGATAGATAACAACAGAAACCTAACAATTGTTACAATGCTACAACACTAATTCGTTTATCTGGAAAAGATTGGAGTAGTCCCCATTGCGTTAGCCCAAGACTTGTTGTTCTGAGTAATCTTTATGTGTTTATTCTTCCCAAAATTCAAATTCAAAGCAGACTTTATCTTTTGATTAACCTCAAATATTATAGGAGTCTCACCTCTAAAACTAAACTTAATCCTGGTGTCACAGATGAAGTAAAGAGTACTAATGATACTGTCAATAAGAAAGTTAGTACCATAGTAAGACATTATCAAGGCTACTAAATTATTCAAAGAAACCAAAGGAACAGAAGGTTGAACCAAATTCATAGCAAGGACGTTGACGAGATGACCTGGAAGTAAGTATTAAAAAAAAAAAAACCAAAAGAAAAAAGTAGTATTTGGTTGAAACTTGAATACTACAAAAAGCACGACTTGTTTTGATGGAAGAATTAATTTGAGCCACCTTTTCCCCTGTCTGAAGCTTGTTAAGTATGGCTAACCAAGCTACGTAGCTGTGTTTTGGAACAAAGTATTTGCCCTACCACTTTTTACCAACGGAAAATAGATAATTAGACACATTAGTTAGAAAAGTTTTAACTGGAGAAAAAGCCTGCCTTTACCTTTCTGCACAAGTACTGCTCCACTAGTAACATATTGAAAAATAACCAATCTAATAAATTATCACGTTTTTCTTAAAATATCATGACCATCAGTTACGAGTTTGAGTTGTCTTTTTTATTGTATACTAATAGAAACTTAGGAACTAGAGTTTTGTATTTTGTGAGGTGGAGCTAGGAGCGAGCCAGCCTGTACGGACGCACCCCTCCGTTCATAATTTTTTTTTTAAGAATTCTAAATGTTTACAAAAAAAAAAAAAAATTACTTCATTTCACATCCCTCCAAAAATTATTAAAAACATTTAATTAACTTGTGTTAAAGAATTTGAGATAATATAACATTACTCAATATAAATGTTAAACAAATATCTTAAATACCAAAAGCATCGTATATCAGATCTTCCAAATAATAACGATATAAATCCCATCAATAACAATGATATAAATAAAAGATTATTATTTAAAGCCCAATATACATTTGTGATTGAATGTAGTGAGGCATGTCTTAAGCCACATAAAAGTGCAAGAAAAAAAATGAGAATGATTAATAGGCTAAGAAATTTAATAAAAAGGTAACTAATGAAGTTTATCCACCAAATAAATTAATTTTTTTTTGAAATAAAACTATTTCATATTAATTTACTGAAAATCGTCCAGCAACGATTGACAATGAAAAGATACAAATGAAATAAGAACACAACTTACTATCAATCATATCGCTAGGGATAAACCTATCTAGATCTATCAAATACAAGGATGAATATATCACGTGGTAGATAATCAATCTGATCAAGAAAATATCTCTAAACATATGCTAAAAGCCCCAATTCATACATCTGTTTGACACTTATATGATGACTGAATCTTCTCGAACCACACCATGCAAATCAATAAGGGAAATTGATGTAATATAAGATAGAATATATCAACTAAAAATTTCATTTTTCCAAAACTTATCCAACTTATAATTGAATTTTTATTTTTTGCTTTCGTTGACGATTGAAGATGTATTCATGTATCTTTGTGTGTGCGTGTGTCTATATATATATATATATATATATATATATATATATATATAATTGAAAATGTATGCTAAAATTAATTTTAGATTTAGGAAATTTTGGTACTCATTTTTTATGGTATGTAACTTTCTTAAGATTGTAGATATCTATCCCTAATAGAATTCCCGGCATACAAAATATAAATTAATAAATAAATAGTTGAAAGCTATAATAATACTGGAAGTTTAAAGGCCGCCAGGAAATGGATATAGACCGCCATTGACCAAGAGTTGACTTCCTATTTTATCCTTATATTCTAAATTTCAAATTCAAATATTAAAACTCCAAACTTTAACCCTACACTCCAATCTTCAACCTCAAACACTCTAATCTCCAAAATTATTATTATTATTATTGTTATTATTATTATTATTATTATTATTATTATTAAAAATAAAAATTAATATAACTAAAATTAATAAAGTAATTCAATTAATTACTAAATAATATTCATATTATTAACAAAATTAATATATTATATTTTTTTAACTTAATCACATACATCAAAACTTATTTATCTAATATAACTAACTTAATTTCATAATAATCGATTAAAAGTATTCAAAGAAAAAAATATAAAAATATAACAAAAAAATAATAATTACTCAAAAAAAAAAGAATTGGCGGCCGGCCATAGCCGCTGTTGTTGCTGGCCGCCAAAATACCAGACGGCGTCCGTGCCGTCTAGAATTATATCGGATGGTATATATGTCACGGGCTTACTTTTTCAAAGTAACGGCCGTGCGGCACTAGCACAAAACAACTAACGATCAAGTGCTAGCTCAGCCTTAAGACCCCCAAAGCGTGCAAAGCTAGGCAAGGCTTTAAAGAATGGAGGCAAAGAAAAACTTAAGAAAAGTTGAAAGTGAAAGAACGATGAAGGCACAAGAGAGCTTAAGGAATGCTTGAGAACTCTACTCAAAGCTTGGATGGATTACAAATGAAGGGGGCATGGGGTATTTATAGGCAAACCCCAAGTCCTAAAGAATTCTAGAGAATTCTATGTACATAATAAAATAATGGAATTCTAGAGAATTCCTACAATAAAATATTCTAAGTTCAAAATATCTACAAGTCTCTAGAATCTTCCACACGGTTCTAGCAAACTCGGGTAGCTTCCACACGGTTCCACCCGTTTCTAGAGAGTTTCGGGCCTCTCTAGAAAATTCCAGAATCTTCAAGATTTGACCGGAGAATTCCACAAGGCTCTAGACCGTTCCGTCCCATGTCCGTCTACGAAAATAGCCTGTTTTGCAGCAAAACACCCGAATTCGTGGGGAAGAAAAACTGTCCGTGACATCCTCCCCCACCAAAACGGTGCATCGCCCCGATGCACTTAAGTCTCGAAGGCAATGTTGATAGGAGCGGGTGCACGATTCTCCTCAAAGTCCTCGATCAATTTGGTGAATTGCCAAAGCTTCTCGATTGGCTCCCAACTCGTCTCACTCATTGGCAAATTCTTCCATTTCACCAAGTATTCTTTAGTTGGTGCCCCGCTCTTGCCCCGAACGATCCTCTTAGAAAGGATCTCCTCTGCGGTCCGTTCCTCATGCTCGCGTACGCCAGCTGGTGCCCTTGAGGAAACGTTCCGTTCTTCGTCCTCTGGGTCCTTGCGGTATGGCTTAAGTAAGCTCACATGAAAGACTGGATGAAGCCTTGAAAAGGCCTCGGGTAGCTCCAGCTTGTAAGCAACCGAACCCACTTTCTTAAGAACGGTGAAAGGACCCTCGTATCTGCGCATGAGACCCTTGTGTAGACCACGGCTCCGTCCATGCTCATAAAGCTTCACCAAGACTTGGTCACCTTCTTCAAACTCGCGACGGGTCCATTTCTTATCCGCCCATTTCTTCATGCGTGCGGCCGACTTCTCCAAGTAGAGTTTTGCCTCGTCGGCCCGTTCTTGCCAATCTTTGGCAAACTTGTATGCGGGTGGGCTATTGCCCTTATAGCCCCCAAGAATGTCCTTAGGCGTAGTTGGTTGGAAACCAAGGACAATCTCAAACGGACTTTTGCCCGTGCTCTCACTCCGCATCAAGTTATAGGAAAATTGGGCAACGTCTAGCAAACGTACCCAATCTTTCTGGTTGGCTGCCACATAGTGCCTGAGGTACACCTCCAAGAGGCCGTTGATGCGCTCCGTCTGCCCATCTGTTTGCGGGTGCAAAGATGTAGACATCTTGAGCTCCGTCCCAAGCAAACGAAAGAGTTCTTGCCAAAAACGGCCGGTGAACCTCGAGTCCCTGTCGCTTATGATCGATGTAGGCAGCCCCCAATACTTCACCACATGCCTAAGAAAGAGTTTGGCCGTTATCTCCGCGGTGCACTCTTTTGGGGCGGGAATGAAGACCGCATACTTAGACAAACGGTCTACCACAACAAGTATGTTGGTGCAACCCTCGGAAACGGGCAGGCTCACGATGAAATCCATCGAAACGCTGTCCCACGGGCATTCCGGAATAGGCAAGGGTGATAACAAGCCATGCGGGTGGTCTTGCTCGGTCTTGTCTTGTTGGCAAACTAGACAAGTCCTTACATACGTCTCCACGTCTTCCCACATGCGAGGCCAATAGAACCGTTCATGGACTAAGGCAAGTGTGCGATGCGTACCTGGGTGACCCGCATAACGGCTATCATGGCAATCCCTTAGAATCTCCCTTCTAAGTCCATCCCATGCGGGCATGTACAAACGGTTCCCCTTGGCATAAAGTATCCCATCCTCAAGCCAGAACCGTGTTGTCTTGCCTTCCTTCACGAGCTCCATGAACCTTTGGGCTTGACGGTCGTGCTCAAGACCCTTCTTGATGCGATCAACCAGCGTCCCCTCGGGTATGCTAACGATTGGAGCAAGACACGCCTTTCGGCTTAGGGCGTCGGCCACGTGGTTAGTCTTCCCCAGGCTATACTCAAGCTCATATTTAAACTCGGCCAAAAAGTCCAACCAACGTGCTTGCTTGCTTGAAAGCTTAGGTTGGCTTTGATGGTAGCTCACTGCCCGATTGTCCGTCTTGATCTTGAACGATGTGGCGGCCTTCAAGTAATGCTCCCAAACTCTAAGGCAGTGAACTATAGCCAACATCTCCTTCTCGTGCGTCGGCCACCTTTTCTCGGTCTCGTTCAGCTTGCGACTTTCAAAGGCAATCGGGTGACCATCTTGCATGAGAACGCCCCCAATG